AAAAAAACCCAAAAAACAAACACAGGAAGAAATCAAAATTTCTAAAATTTTGCTGTTATAAAAACTTCACACCATAGTTTGATCAAATTGTCTGTAATTAAAATTATTGATTAAAATAGTGGTGGGAGTAGCCAGGTAAAGAATTCTTATGGTAAATTATTTTGTAAAGGGGGAAGGAATAATCAATGCTTAATTTATCAATTTTGCAAACAAAATTACATTATCTGGGTTGCCTTAAAAGGGGGTTCTTTTTATTCAACATGTTATTATAAAAATTCTCAAACATACAAATTTGAAGGAATTTTACAATGAATACCTATATACCCACCACCTAGATTCTACGTTAATATTATACTATATACATGCTTTATCACGTATCTACCTATTCATCCTTCTGTCCATTTTTATCAATGCATCAGTGTTAATCTATCTTATTTTTGATGCATTTCCAAATTCAGTTTGCAGAATCAGTACACTTCTCTAAACGGTTCTTTTTAAAATTCAGTGAATATATATTTTGTTATTTGAAATATATTACTTAAATGTTTTCTTGATTTCACCTAAGAAGTACCTTAAGAATTTCATAACTATTAACCTAAAAGCCATTCTTACAAATAAGAAACAGGCAAAAGGTTGTTTCACTAGAGGCCAAAATGCCACCTTGAGCCGTCTAAGAACTGTAGCGCCAACACTGCGTGGGTGAAGGAGGCAATGGGAAGCTCGATATTCGGACAGTGGAAATGTGGTTGAAAGGCAGTGATTGTTTTAGGCAGCTCCGTGTTTAACACGGTTCAGTGTGGGAAGGGATTAGCAACTTTCACAGCTATTTAGGAACAAAACCAGGAAGAATCCAGAGAAGAGGGGGGCCAATGGAGCCTTTGGAAAAAGAAGTAAGCCAGAAAAGGGGTGTGTGGAGTCAGTCCACAGGGTTTAACTGAGTCATAGAGGACAACAAGCAGGGGAGCCTGTTAGCGGTGCTGACACTCACAATTCTTCCCCCCGCCCCTCAATTTTCCACATAAGGGCACGTGTAACGGTGCGATGGAGAGTCTGGGGCAGAAGTGCACATCGCACACCCGTGAGGGCGCGCGCACACTCAGACGCACACATATCCCCTTATTGGGGTGATGTGTGTGGCTGGGGGTGGAGGCATGGGACCTTGGGGAAGCTGGGGAGTGAAGGGGCAGCTGGCGGCTCGGCAATCCCGGGACTTCGGTCCAGCGCTCCCTCCACCGCCCCCCGCCGCGTGCCCGCGCGCCGCCGTCCGCCCGCGAGCTCCTTTGCCTCCCTTTCACTTTCGCGTCTGCGTAGGTGTCTGCCCCGGCGGGAGCGAGGGCGCGGGGGCGCGCGGCGCGCGGNCGAACGGAGGTGGGCTGCGGGCAGGAGACGAGGTGCCCACCGGGCCGCCTCGGGGCAGGGGCGCTGGACGGCGGGCGAGCGGTCGAGACGGCTGTCCCTGCACGGTTCTAACCTAGATTTTGCAAGAAGCTAAGATCCAGGGCAAGACCGGCCCTCCCCAAAGGAGGTAAAAACTTAGTAAAAGAGACACGTCCATTCCTTTAATAATGAATAATTCGGCAACGCTGGCTGAGCCGCCGCCGCCGCCCCTGGCGCCCAGGCGCTAGGTCTGGGACTCCCCTTGCTCCTGCCCGCCGCCCGCACCCGGCCGGGGCGCGATCGATGCCGGACTGCTAGCCCAGCCCGGCCGGGAGAGCGCGCGTGACAGCGGGCCCCACGGGAAAGTTGGGACAGTCGGCGGGGACTCCTGGCTGCGGAGGCGCCGGGGGCCGCTCCACGCCGGGGACTGTGGGCACCGGAGTCCAGGGTCGGGACCAGCTTGCCTGCGGCGCCGCTGTCGCTCCTGCCGCCAGGGAGTTCCCGACTGGAGCGGCTGAGAGTTCGAGTCTCCTCGGGTTCGGGGTCGGGAATCCCGAAGCTTAACTAACTGTAAGGAGAAACGGGGCCTTTGGGCACAGGGTTTTCCCCAACCCTCCATGGCTTTGGCGGGCGCGCAGCAAGGGTGAGGCGGGAGGTTGCACAGCTGCCGCCGGCGGCCTGCGGGTCGCGGAGGGCCGGGGGACTAGATTTAGGTGTGTACGTCACTGATGCTGACTCCGGGCCAGCTGGGAGCCTAAAGCAGAGGCTCATGCGCGGAGCCTAAAAGTCATTAGAAATCAAAGTTAAGGAGCCCCTTCTTCCTCCTTTTGCTTAGTAACTGCAGCTTTTGGGTGGGTGGTAGGAGAATCGAGGTGGGGGCGGTTGGAGGGAAACCGAAATTTCTTCGTGCAGACACTGGATCCTTAGAAAACATTTTGGTTCCTCTCTCCTCCAGTATGTTTCTCCCAATTACGTCCACCCCCTTCCACCCATTATAAAGTGAATATCCTCGATTGTTTGATTCTTTCAAATTGAAATAGTGGAAAAACCCAATTCTAAAGTAGTAAGTACAGCGACAAAATTATAAGGAAGGAGAGCAGTAGCTCTTGACCCAGGCACTTTTTTTTCTTTTGGTGTTGGGGGGAGGAGGAGGGAGAGGAAGGTTGTGTTTAAAGGGCTTTGGCTGCACTGAAATCACCCGCTTTTCCTGCACGGTTAAAACGAGGAAATTCAAATTAAGTGGGAACGTGATCCTCTTGGTCGCTGGCAGCGGAGGCTGCGGCTGCTGTGCTGAGAGGTAACTCCGGAGACAGAGGAAAGGGGCCGGGGGAGGAACCTCGCGGGTCGGGTGAAGCCCACCCGGAGTCGTCCCCGGGACGTGGACACTGTGAGCAGCGCTGGGGTCTGGGCTGCTGTCCACCTGGCGCTGCAGGTGGAGAGAGTGAGGGGTAACACCTTGTCTACTCGCGGAAAACCGCCTTCTTCCGCGTCACCACACTTTTCACGTCTCTCCAGACAGGCTGGGGTCGGCCAGGAGGAGAGGCGGGTGATCGTGAGCAAGTTTGCGGCGGTCGAGCAAGGGGGACGGGGCGGGCAGCGTGCTGAGGGTGTCTGATGTCGTAGCCACCGCCCGGCACCCCAAGCAGCAGCCGCTGCTTGCTGCGGCTTTAAGGAAGCTGCCGAGTCCAGGCTGTGTCGCAGCAACTTTGTATCAGTCATGTCGCCCGCCTGGTGACTGGCAGCCTGCATTGCCCAATGAGAAGCCCGCCTAGCCAGTGCAGCGTGGAGCCTTGCTTCCCTCCGGGCCAATGGGAAGGGCTCAGGGGGGCGGGAGAGCAACCTGAACTTTATCTGGACATGTGACCCGCTTTTAAAAGGGCCGGCCCTCCAGCTGGCCCACTCCCCCTCCGGGCTTTCACCCGCCCTCTCTCCTTCCCTCCCTCCCTTTTTTGCCCGCCCTGGCCCTGCCCCTGCCCCTGCCCCCTCCCCCTCCTCTCAGCCCCTCCGCGCCCGGGGTGTCATTGGGCCCGGGAGACGGGAGCCAACTTCAGGCTGCTCAAAGGAAGCCCGTGCAGTTACCTGGGTGCAAGAGCGTTGCTGCCTCGGGCTCTCCCGCTGCAGGGCACCTCACCAGAGAAGGTGGGGTTCCTAGCAGTGGTGATAAACCCTGATTAGGCAGTTGTCTGACTCTGTAAAGTGTGCACACTGACCACCTCCATCCTGAGGGTGGCACTCTTGCTGAACTGGACCACCTTTTCCTAGGGTGCAGGGCATGGACCTGGATGTGGTCAGCTTGGCACAATGATATTGCCTCAGTGGAGTGGGACCACTTCTGGGGCCAGAACAAAATGTTCTCAGGAGTTGGGGTAGATCTCACATCTGTGATTGCTGCAGTAGCCTCAGGGGTGGTGGTGGGGTAGCAGTTTCATAAGTGTCTCTCCCCAGGTCAGTTCAGTCATATGTGCTCCCAGGAGTTCCCAGCACTGGGTGCATGGCCGTAAAGGCCACCCCTGAGTCGTAATAACTTCGTATAGCATACATTATACGAAGTTATACGATGTCGTGGCGGTGGCAAGCGCTGCAACAGGTAGACGGCGAGAGACGGACCCTGGCCGAGGCAGGTGTGTAGGGGTGCGCGGCGGGGCGCCGCTTGCCCGGCTTTGCGTGCGACCGTGGTGCAGGAACGTGCACTTTGCAGGGAGAAGTGGCTGCGTAATCCGGAGGCACAGTCAGTATGGTGCTGTGTGCTTGTTGTTTTGTTTTGGTTTTCCACTTTTCCCCCCCTTTGGCCGCCAGAGGACTATTTTGGGAAAGTTTGGCCACTTTGGGTAAATGTCCTCCAACCAGCAGCTTTTAACCGCCTTTGGCAGCGGGAGGTCTACCACCCTTCCCTTCCCCAAAGAAGAATTTCGGATCGTTTTCCTTGTACAATTTTTAAAGGACATTTGGATATTTTTTTCCTCTATCAATTGCGGAAGCTCCCAAATTTCGGCCGGAGGTGTAGCGGAATAAGGGCATTCGAAGGAGAGAGAGATTCTCACAGATCCTGTATTAAAGAGGCTCTGGAAATTTGTGCATTTTCCGTTCCCTAGTATTCACGAAACTCTTGAGAGAGGCTACGCTTTCTGTGGCATCAGTTGGAATTCTAAGGGCAGGGAGAAGGAATGAAGCTTCTTTGAGTGGCATCCTTACCCTACTACTGAATTTTAGGTGTGTGTCTTTTCCTACTGAATTGAAAAAGACCAGGTAAAAATAATAATGGGTTATGCCACTATCAGTTTTAATTATTTATTAGAAATAGGAGTTAGGAAAACTTTTGATAGCAGAGGAGTTTTTGAAACCGTCGAATTTTAAATGCATCAAATTGCTTCTTAACATTTTGTATTGCCATTTCTCTAGGTGCTGCTATTAATGATATTTACATAGTAATGATATCGGCATTCTCCATCTGTGAAGTCCTGCTGCGAAGTTTTAATTTCATGTTTGACATCATGGCACGCTCTCATGAAAATGTTTGAGGGGAGAAGTTTTTCAAAATAATCTAAAGTGGAACTTTTTCCTTTAAGGGAGTCATAGTTTTGTTTGGGGATTTTGAAAAGATCAGGTGGCTCAGTGAATTAGGAGAGTGAATGTGCTCGGTTCTAACTGGTTCTCCAACTCTCTTAGGTGACCTTGGGCAGATTTCTATCATTTACCTCATCTATAAAAGAGAGGAACATAATAGTTCTGTAGTAGGGAATGACAAAAAATAGTTACATACGGTGAACTTTTACAACTATGCAACCTACTGATGATGATTGTGAAATTCTTAAGGCTTAGTCTTTAAAGTGCCGAATTATAGTGAAATAACTGTAGAGAATGATGCCTTTAAAATGGGACTGTATTTGGGGGGATATTAAAAGTGAAAGTGTTTTCAGATAAAATACAAGTCTGCAAGGATCTTTGTTAATATTCCTGAAAAAAAAACTACTTCCTTATGGAAAAGGGCAATTTAACAGACTGTAAAACAAAATTTTAAAGTCAGATTTTTTTCTTTGTAAAAATAGTGTGTGATAGGTTATATATGGCTTAAAGTTGCACCTCCATCAGTGCTTTTCCTTACGTAGGGGAATTCTATGTTTTGGGGAATCCATTTGCATGGAAATTAAAAAGGTTCATCATAATGGTTTTTGCCTTTGTCCCAAGAGAGTCTCTGGTATAGTTTCCATCGTGATGCAGACAAGCTTGATTTTACATAAGCTAGATTTGTATACCACTATCTGCTTAATTTATACTTTAGTAACAAAAACTTTCCCTTTACCCTCTGCATATTTGATGATCATTTTCATCAACTAGTATTTTTAGTATTCACTAGTAAGTTCAAGTTGACTGAAATTCTGTTCAAGGCATGGTCATTATGCCAGTTTCAGAAGACAACCTCGGTTTCCTGGAAAACGTAGGAAATAAATTTCTAACATGATCCATTTGTTTACAGAAAAGACAAATGAAAATAATAGACAGGGAGAATTCAGCATAAAATATTTCAACAATCTAGTTAAAAAAAAAAATCCGATCTTAAAAAAAATGTTTGCCGTGGAAGCCATGCAGATGCTGTATGTCCTCTAGTCCTTTGTGTTTGGGTGTTGCTAACCTTTACTCTATTTCCTTTGTTGAGAGGTGCAGTAATGTTGATAGATGAGAATACCTTAAACAAAGCTAATTTAGATTTCAGTAAAGCCTTTTGCAAATTCTTTAATGATAGTCCAGTCCAGAACATGGTAAAATACCGGCTGTTTTATGTTATTAGGAGAGTTCAAGGCTAGCCAAACAGGACTTGGAAAGTTCTGATCAGCTGTATGATGTTAGCTGATAAGGTGCTTCCTTGTAGAGTGCTTTAAAATGGTCTCTGGAGTCCACCATCTCTCATGAGCCACTGGGATACGGCTCATGCTTTAGGGCAGAGTGATGAAAAATGTCCCTCAAAATCTCAGGAGCTGTTCTGTGAAAAACGGGTGCTGTGGCCAAATTATTTCGGCAATGCTGGATTAAAAAGTAAACTGATTTCTGCACTTTATAATCTCCCAGGGGTTTTAGCATGCAGATTTACACTGTGGGATTTCACAAAAGCAATGACTGACACCCTTTCCAAAAGACAATCTGGAGGATGGATTTTTGGGGAGGGGTGTGAGACCTTCAGACTCTGCAGAGATCCCTGCTGCCTAGGGCTCAGAGAATGAGGCTGTCGCAGTGGGGGTGAGGAGTGTGCCAATGAAGGCCTTTTGGCAAGGGTGCTGAGGCAAGAGGAGCTTCCAGGCATTTGGGGAGATGGTGGTTCAGTTTGCCAAGAGAGGGAATATGAGTTTGGGGGTGTCGAGGGTGAGATACACAGAAGGTGTTCCATTTTGAACACAGATAGACATGTTTCTTATGTGTTTAATGAATTTGGACCTGAAACATCTCTACCTTAGCTACATATTCATTCATCTTTGGTATGGGGAGAACAGAATATTAAGTAGAAGAAGAAGGACATAGTATTTACAGGTATTTGTCAATCCATAGCTTTGATTAAATGGTTTTTCATAAAGTAGAAAAGGCCAGTATTAGCCATTTGCGTCCCAATTCACTATTTTTCTTTTTCTTCCCCAACTTTTACTTGGCTTTCATCCACACCGAAGTTTTTGTATGGAATTACCAGATAACCACCTCAACCTTTGTAATTTGATTTGTTTTTCACTATTTTTGTTTGATTTTTGTTTAGAATTCATAGAATAATACTCTTTAAAGGCATGCTACGTAAGGTTGATTTTTAATGTTCACAAATTAGGCATTGATCATAGTATAATAGTTTAAAATTATTTACTTGCTCTCTGCTGTCCACTTGGCATAGAGTGGTGAAATTGGTAGTTTTTGCCTTCTCAGAACTTAAAATCTAATGTAGAATACAGAAAAGTAAAAGGTAATTATAATACTAGGACAATTTGGGCATTAAATTTCATTATAGAGCCTTATGATATCTAGTGTTAATTTATTTATTAGAGCCATTATATTATTTTTTATGTTAATTAATATAAGTTATGTAGCAAAAGGACTTCCTAGTCTTTTTTTTTTAATGAAGGGAATGTAGGGAGGATGGAGGTAGCAAGGCAAAGGGGGGAAGGGATGAGAGGCCTAACATAATGCTTGTGTGCAGAGCTGCAGAAACTGCATCTTTTAGATGAGGACCTACACTAGGTCATAGATTGTTTCCAGACTTGGAAGGATTTGAAAATGTAGGGCCGAGCCTGTGGCACTCGGGAGAGTGCGGCGCTGGGAGCGCTCGCCGCGGGTTCAGATCCTATATAGGGATGACCGGTGCGCTCACTGGCTGAGCGCGGTGCGGCCAGTCTCAAAAAAGGACAAAAAAAAAAAAAAGAAAGAAAGAAAATGTATAATACAGATTTTAGGGGTTTTAAAATAATGAAATGTACAAAGAAAATTTTACTGAGAATGAGTTAATTTTATTTATGTTTCTTGAAAGTGGTGGCTCTCAACAGGCAGTAATTTTGCCCCCCCCCCCCCCACCCAGGAGCATTTGGTAATGTCTGGAGCCATTTTTGGTTGTCACAACTGGGGAAGAGGAATGCTACTGGCATCTAGTGGGTAGGGATCAGGGATACTGCTGAACATCTTCCAATGCACAGGGCAGACCTCCATAACAAAGAATTATTAGGCCCAAAATGTCAATAGTGCCAGGGTTGAGAATCCCTGGTGTAGGGAGAGACCTGAGAACAAATTCCAGCTCTGCCATGTAGCCGTGGGGATGATGCCTCAGTTTTCCCTCTTGTGTTATTTAAATAGTACTTTTACCAGTCGTATAGGGTTGTTTGTAAGGATAAATGAGTTAATATATGTACAAGGCTTGTGATATTGAATGAATTATATAATACATAATAATTATATGAATATAGTCTATTATAATTATTCTGTTCATGAAATAAATTTATCTATAGAACTAATGGATATGATTGTATAGCTAAAGCAATCCTGTGGGTTCCTTGAGGATGGGGACTGTGCCTGTTTTGTTTATTATTACAGATTTAGTGACTGGTCTTACCCAGGATGTAGCAAGCACTTGGTAAATACTGTTGAATGAATGAACGCTTAAATTTTTCAGACCCCTTTAAACTTCCTTCATTCACTGTTGAGAGTAAAAATATCTGACTGGGAGTATTTTTGACAGAGGTACCATTAAGTCACAGTGCTTGTCAAAGTCCTTGCAAGTATTGGAATATAGAGAGAGCCCTGACATTTCTGAGTTGCCATATAGCCTCTCTGAGCTGTGGACCATCTTTTCAGAATTGACATTAAATTATCTTCATCACTAATCTTTCTTAAGAAAGTCTTCTTATTTAAAAAATAATTCTTAAATTACTTTTCTTATGGTAATTCACTTGTTAAGTTTATATTTGGAAATGGTAACTTTAAATGCATTCCCATATTGTTTTTCAAAGGGATATGGAAGGAAGCTTCCATATGATTGAAAGACTCCAAAGGCAGTGCAGTCAGAAGATTTAGTTTTAAACCTGACTTTGTCATTTACTATGTTTTTGACTTTGGGCAAGTCACCCACCTAAGTCCTCAGTTTCCTTCTTTGCCTGCCTCTTCAGTCCCCAGGATTATTTTGAATGTTGAATAAGTTAACATTTGTAAATATCCTTTGTAAACTTTAAAGGCTGTATTATAGCAAATATGTTACTTTCACTTAGGTACAAAATAGTTTTATATGATTGCTTCTCTTATTCTGACTTGTATATTCTGTTATGTCAGCACCCAAGAAGGTAACCATTTTAATAGTACTGGAAATATTGCTTATAATAAGTAGACTATACATATGTAGCTTAGTAAATGCAATTTTAGAATGTTTTTTAGAGTAATATTGCTGTAACTGACTCTAATTTTTTAATATAAATTTATTTGTTAGCTATGGAGACCAAAGGCTACCACAGTTTCCCTGAAGGTCTAGATATGGAAAGACGGTGGGGTCAAGTTTCTCAGTCTGTGGAGCGTTCTTCCCTGGGACCTACAGAGAGGACCGATGAGAATAACTACATGGAGATTGTCAACGTAAGCTGTGTTTCCGGTGCTATTCCAAACAACAGTGCTCAAGGAAGCAGCAAAGAAAAACACGAACTACTTCCTTGCCTTCAGCAAGACAGTAATCGGTCTGGGATTTTAACATCTGATATCAAAACTGAGCTTGAATCTAAGGAGCTTTCAGCAACTGTAGCTGAGTCCATGGGTTTATACATGGATTCTGTACGAGATGCTGACTACGCCTATGATCAGCAGAACCAACAAGGAAGCATGAGTCCAGCTAAGATGTATCAAAATGTTGAACAGCTGGTGAAATTTTACAAAGAAAATGGCCATCGTCCTTCCACTCTGAGTAACGTGGGCAGGGCCTCGAGATCATTTATGCCTGACTCTGGGAGCTCCGTGAATGGCGGGGTCATGCGTGCCATCGTTAAAAGTCCCATCATGTGTCATGAGAAGAGCCCGTCAGTTTGCAGCCCTTTGAACATGGCATCTTCAGTTTGTAGTCCTGCTGGAATCAATTCTGTGTCCTCCACCACGGCCAGCTTTGGCAGTTTCCCAGTGCACAGCCCTATCGCCCAGGGAACTCCTCTGACATGCTCTCCTAATGTTGAAAATCGAGGCTCCAGGTCTCACAGTCCTGCACACACTAGCAACGTGGGCTCTCCTCTCTCAAGTCCATTAAGTAGCATGAAATCCCCAATTTCCAGCCCTCCAAGTCACTGCAGTGTAAAATCTCCAGTCTCCAGTCCTAATAATATCACTCTGCGATCTGTGTCCAGCCCTGCAAATATCAACAACTCAAGGTGCTCCATTTCCAGCCCTTCCAACACAAATAACAGATCTACGCTTTCCAGTCCAACAGCCAGTACTGTGGGATCTGTCTGTAGCCCTATAAACAATGCCTTCAGCTACTCTGCTTCTTGCACCTCTGTTGGATCCAGTGCAACCCGGGATGTGGTTCCTAGTCCAGACACACATGAGAAAGGTGCTCAAGAGGTCCCTTTTCCTAAGACTGAGGAAGTAGAGAATGCCATCTCAAGCGGTATGACTGGCCAGCTTAACATTGTCCAGTACATAAAACCAGAACCAGATGGAGCTTTTAGCAGCTCCTGTCTAGGAGGAAATAGCAAAATAAATTCTGATTCTCCATTCTCAGTACCAATAAAGCAAGAATCAACCAAGCATTCATGTTCAGGCACCTCTTTTAAAGGGAATCCAACAGTAAACCCATTTCCATTTATGGATGGCTCATATTTTTCCTTTATGGATGATAAAGACTATTATTCTCTATCAGGAATTTTAGGACCACCTGTGCCCGGCTTTGATGGTAACTGTGAAGGCAGTGGATTCCCAGTAGGGATTAAACAAGAACCAGATGATGGGAGCTATTACCCAGAAGCCAGCATCCCTTCATCTGCCATTGTTGGTGTGAATTCAGGTGGACAGTCCTTTCACTACAGGATTGGTGCTCAAGGTACAATATCTTTATCACGATCGGCTAGAGACCAATCTTTCCAACACCTGAGTTCCTTTCCTCCTGTCAATACATTAGTGGAGTCATGGAAATCACATGGTGACCTGTCATCTAGAAGAAGTGATGGATATCCGGTTCTAGAATACATTCCAGAAAACGTATCGAGGTAAGTTGTTTTTTCCTCTCTCTTTTTTAAATTATGGCTTTATAAAATGTTGAAGGCTAGCATTATCTCTATAGTTGATAAATTTAAACACATTTCAGCTTACTGTTTTACTTTTGTTTTAAGGATGGTCATTTAGTTGCTCTCCCTTTGCTTGTTGGTAAAATGTTATTACTTTTTTGAAGTAGAGGAACAAAAATTTCTTAAAATCTCTTAGAAAATATCTGTGTTGACTTTGAAGGAGCATATATAGGTATATAGGTGTCCCCACTGCCACCCACTGTCTGTTTTAGGTGTTTGGAAAATGTTTATTTTCTACTGTTAGTTTCTATATTTACTTTAGCAGACTAGGTGCTAGGTTTTTGTTTTTCCTTTAGCTGTTTGCTGGTTTACTAAAATTGCTTTAAATTAGTTTCTTTGTGGTCTTAGTCTTTTCTTTATTAATCATTTCACTGGTTGAGAAAAATAAAATTGAACCCCAAGTCTGTTACCCACAGGGTTTCCTCTCCCTCTTTCTCTCCTAGGTAGGTTAATTATATGAAAATTGTGGTTTTCCATACAAATAAATCACTTCCTTAACTATCGAGGGAAGACTCAGCACATCTAAAATTACTCACTGGACAATCTTGCTTTCTTATATTGAAAGTGAAATATGTCTTTGCAGTTTTGAATTGCTATATTTATAACTTTTCAGATCTGCAAGAAGACATACTTTATCTGCTATAAAATATCTCTTGGCTTTCCTCGTTGCAGATAGCATGTTGTATATATTTAGAAAATAAAACAAGGAAGAGGTTTTAGATATGACTATAAAGGGTGGTTCTAAGTTATACAGTGAATACTTGCATTGGACTTTGCCTCAGTGCTGTTTTTATTACATGGTTGTGATAAATGATCCCTTTAAGGAATATTTATTTTTTTTATTTTTTATTTTTTTTAAGGAATATTTAAAGGGTAGATTTCCTAGATATAGTTCTTTCTTTCGGCATCTTGGAATGTGTGGATATTTTCGTTTATTTCCTTAAGAATTTATTTTGTGGAAAATATGTCCATCCCATTAACAGGATATAAGGTTTACATGTATTCTTATATCTTTATCCTATTTTTTTTCAAAACAAAAGCAAAACGTTAATTTGTGCATTCTTGTCATTAGCTCAAACCATGCTCCTCTTGCTTTTATGCAAGTAAATGTTACAAAGAAAGATACATTCTTATAGTTCTCCATAGCATGAACTATTCAATCACATTCTAGTGCTGTCTCTTAAATTCTAAACTCTAACACACAAGTCATGAGATAGCATGGCTCCCATCAGAACCAAACTCCAGCATGTGTTTTACTACTGTGCTTTGCTTTACTTTCGGAAAAGGAAATTTCTGCATGCGACATAGATGTTTTTGTTAGTGATGTTTTTAGTAAGCTAGTATGGGGTAGTATAACCTGATAGTTAAGAGCATGATTGGTTGATCGTCCATCTCTTCACCTCTCTGGGCTTTAGTTTTCTTATCTATAAAAAGGCACTAAATAGTACCCATCTCAAAGGTAGTTAAGATAATTTAAATTAGTTAATTCATGAGAAGTACTTTGAATATCATTGGGTATGTTGGTATGCATTATAAAGGTTTTAGCTATTATTTTTAACTGGTTTAATCTTTAGTTTTCATTTCTTTAAAGTCTTTTCTTCATTATGTGAAATTCCATAAAATCTTTTAAAGAAATATTTTAAAATTTTAAGTATTTGTTAAAATAAATATTTGATAATTTCTTACGATTAAACTCAGATTTCTTTTTTTTAATGGTTAGGCACATACATTTATAACTACAATTTTATTTATGCTTTTTTAGTTTTGTAGACTACTGCTTTGGGTAATGATATTTCTGATACAAATATTGGAGATACGGTAGTTAAAATCATTAATTCCCTTATTTGTTCTGTATCTTATTTCTACTTTTTTAATTGTAGTTTTCACACTCAACTCATGAAGCACCTCATGATGGCCCAATGACCATAGCCTTAGACGTGATTTCTGTGAATCAGTGATCTTGAGCCTATCCTGCACTCATGGGCACTAAAGGTGGTGTTTGCTGTCTCTTCTAGAGTATTCCAAAATTCTTTATATGTTTGTTAATGCAGTCAAAGGGATTCATTCTGTTTGCATACATAACGGGTTTTTGCCAATTAATATAAATTTTCCAAAAACTTTAATATCAAAGCTTTGTTATTCGAAATCTCTTGTAAATTCATAACTCATTGCAGTTTTCCCTGGTGAATATTATCCAAACCTATTTGCTTGATCATTATCAGAATAAAGGCTCAAGGATCAGAGGATATTAGATCTTTTTCTAGATTTCAGTCTACATGTTATAATACTTAATTTAACCTCATCCAAGTTTCATCATTGTTCTCCTTTTTTTGTGTCTTTTGGACCACAGTGCAACCTTTTTGCCTAATTCTTAATTTATGATGTTGATACCCCATTCCAGGGAATGTTGAATAAATTAATGAATTAAAGATCATAAAGGATGAAGGCAGTGTGTAACTGCTTCTGGATTTAATAGTATCCCTCATCTTTACGTTTAACTCTAAACTATTTTCTAGTAGATCTCAAAGTGTGGTTTGGGGGTTCCTGATACCTTTTGAAGGGGGTTCATGAAGTCAGAAATCATGCATTGGTAAAAGATCCACTAAAAATGGAAGATAAACCAATGGATTTTAAGGTAATAGTGTACTAAAAATTCATTGATATTGTTTTGGATCGTACATTGCAATTAATTTTTATGAAAATACACACTGTCAATTCTCATTGTGGTATCAGATATCTACAGTTATCTGAAAAAACCATTAAAATATTCCTCCCCTTTTCCAACAGCATATCTGTATGAAGCCAGATTTTGTCATATACTTACAGCAAAATATATCACCACACACTAACAGTTATCTGAAAAAACCATTAAAATATTCCTCCCCTTTTCCAACAGCATATCTGTATGAAACCAGATTTTGTCATATACTTACAGCAAAATATATCACCACACACTGAAAGCAGAAATAGATATGAAATCCAGCTGTTTTCTATTAAGCTAGATAATAAATAGACTTTAAAAATTTAAAACAGTACCACTCTCCTCACTAAAGTTTTTTGTTTGGGGAAATCTAGTTATTTTTTCATAAACATATGTTTATGTTAACACGTAATGACTTATTTAAATATTAATTTTAATTTCTCATTTAATTTAAACTAGTTTAGTATTAGTTTGAATATCTAATATGCTAAGTATAGCTACAACTCATCAACAAAAGCTCTTTGGGATCCTCAGTTCTTAAGAGTGAAAAGACATTCTGAGACTCAGAAGTTGAGATCGGCTGGTCTATTCTACACATTCTTTGGAGGTTAATGAAGAAAGAGGATATTACATTATTTGTATTAGCCTTACTGAATATTATTCTGAGGAAGGAGTGTCCTGTTCAAATACGAAAGATGACTCTCACCTAGATTAATTTTTCAAGCTGACAGAAATGAGTAATGGCCATGAGGTGCGTGTTGTCATTATCTCAGTTTGTGGGCATTCATTCTGTAAGAATGGTGACGAAAGTCATCTATTAATAATTTCCAGTGAATGGATTGTCCGAATGCCAAATTTTAAGGGAAATTATGACAAAGCTAAATGTAAAGCCTTTAAGATGAACACTGGACCTAGTTGTGTCATGTACATAGAAGTCCCCTACCAGCTCAGACACAAACAAAACTTGAGAACTTGAGTGAGTTATAACTACTCCCAGCCTCAGTTTCTTCATTTTAAAGTCGAACTACATGCTGTCTAAAATGTACCAGTAAAACGGAGTGGCTTTGTAGTGTCCTTGGAAGAATCAAAATAGAGTATTCCTTAACATGTTTGCTAATCTGGTTTCAGATATTTTTTAGCTCGATAGTTTTCAGGGTAGTCTGGATAGAAAAATGTCATTGCCATTTACCATTTTAAAGTAAAAGTGAGGAGGGGTAACCTATCGTTTTACTTGAAAAACTGAGTAGTGTTTTATTGTTGTTGTTTTTAATCCTTTTATAAAATCTGACACTATGAATTCCTTGTTCTTTCTTTATGGAAACAGGTTATTTCTGTTGACATAACACCGGCTGTTTATGGCGATGGTCATAGTCACTTTGATAGCATCGTAACACAGTGCTAGCATTAGTCTATTTCAAAGGGCATATTCTGATAGGTTTCAAGACAACTGACTAGGTATTTATCTTAATATATGCTGAATTTCTTTTCACTATAGAAGGAAACAATTTAGTAAATAACTTAGTTATTTTTTTATTTTTCAATTGTTCTGTAAGTTTTTTGAAACTCACCTTATATGATAAATCAAAAGCTTCAGAATTCAAGGAGTTTGTGACAAAGTTTACCCCTTTATTAAACTTTCTGAATAAATCATTGAGATGTAAATATCTCTATGTAATGCCAAGTATCAAAGAATGGTTGGTTTTGTTGGGGGGGGAGAGAGAGAGAGAGAGAGAGAGAGAGAGAGTGAGAGAGTGTTTTGGTGCTTACTATAATAAATAAATCCATTACAACATTGCCTGGGTCATTTGAGAATGAAAACATGTAATTTTTTTTTCTTATTATTTGTCTTATCATATTTTGATTTTGAAATTGCTAACATACCTAGAATTTCTCCAGGTTGGTATTTTAAATAAGATTTATAGAAGTGGTTTTAAAATGAGACTTGCTTCTCTTGATGATTCACTTACTTTCATTCACTAACAGAATTTCTGGGAAGATTGGTGATTATTTTATTGGAAAAAAAAGGAGTGCTTTATAATACACAAATCACTATGTACAGTGTACATTTAGATGTAAATATCTCTATGTAATGCCAAGTATCAAAGAATGGTTGGTTTTGTTGGGGGGGGAGGCAGAGAGAGAGAGAGAGAGAGAGTGAGAGAGTGTTTTGGTGCTTATTATAATAAATAAATCCATTACAACATTGCCTGGGTCATTTGAG